AAAGTTTACCAAAGCAGGCTTCGGGCCCTCGTCGATTTGAAGGAGGAAATAAGAAGAGAAGTAACCCAAATTCCTGCACGGATGCTGGCCGACGCGATGGGCTCATTTCGGGAGAGGCCTGATTCCTGCATTTCGGCTCAAGTGCGCCATATGGCCGAGATAGTTATTAGAACGTGAATTTTGTTTTACTCAAAAAAAAATGGCAAGTATTTCTGAGTATTTTGATATAATACAAGATTTTTTTCCGTACTTATTTTGACTGTACTGTACATTTAAAAAACATGCGTTCTTTCTGACGGACGCTGTACATGTTCAGTGCAAAGACAACTAAGTCCGGGACTTACGTGGTTTTTGCATGCACTACCCGACAGCGAGTACAAAATGCACGTTTTAAATTAGCTAGCTAGTTAAAATAAGGTTATGGACCATATCCGTTATGCCAGAAAATCACTTGTTTGTTAGTTTTTTATTCATCCACTTGCCCCAAATATCAAAAAAGTATAACACTGAGCAAAACATTGTGAATCTATTTAAATTTGAAATTAAGTGTTCAAGCACATACACACAGGAGGTGATCTTTCAAATGGTGTATAAATCTATTTAGATACAATGCTTTTAGGTTTTCCAGAATAAAGTTGTACAGAGTAAGCGTTAAATGTGAATCTATTAAATAAAGCTGTCTATAAGTTTATTTTTTTATTTATAATGGCTAATATTAGTTTTGTGTACAAAAGTGATTAAAGTGTATTGGAAAAAAGCCCACCGACGTTTAACCAGCTCTATTACTATTAATCATACTATCAATGCTCCTTGAAGTATGGTCATATTTTTTTAATTACTTATTAGACGGGACCAATTATTTTGGGATTTGTAGTCGTTTTGCTGTGGTTTCATTCAAACAAATCATAAATAGACTCAGAAGATATACTCGCTCCGTCGATATTCTGAAAAAAATTCTAAAAAATCATCTCGATGAAAATTTGTGAATGGAAGTAGTACTTTAGTGCGTTTTTAAGTATGAAACGCGGGAATAATAGCAATTATTATTTGTTTTAGACAGACTTTTTCACTGAATAATTTTAGAAGTAAATCGACTTGGTTTTTGAGTCCGCAACCCTATAAATATATGACCGACCTTGATACGATCCCAAAAGCAGCTTAAATTTATGTAAGTTCCCAAAAAAATCATTCAACTGACAAAAACTTAAAATTCTGATATCGCCCTACATAAGGATTCTCTGTCAAGATTTCTTATCATTTGTCGTATAATTTCCTCATTACTCAATTTATAAATTGACAAAAGTGATTAAATTGTATTGGAAAAGCCCACCGACGTTTAACTAGCTCTATTACTATCAATCATACTATCAATGCTCCTTGAAGTATGGTAATATTTTTTTAATTACTTATTAGACGGGACCAATTATTTTGGGATTTGTAGTCGTTTTGCTGTGGTTTCATTCAAACAAATCATAAATAGACTCAGAAGATATACTCGCTCCGTCGATATTCTGAAAAAAATTCTAAAAAATCATCTCGATGAAAATTTGTGAATGGAAGTAGTACTTTAGTGCGTTTTTAAGTATGAAACGCGGGAATAATAGCAATTATTATTTGTTTTAGACAGACTTTTTCACTGAATAATTTTAGAAGTAAATCGACTTGGTTTTTGAGTCCGCAACCCTATAAATATATGACCGACCTTGATACGATCCCAAAAGCAGCTTAAATTTATGTAAGTTCCCAAAAAAATCATTCAACTGACAAAAACTTAAAATTCTGATATCGCCCTACATAAGGATTCTCTGTCAAGATTTCTTATCATTTGTCGTATAATTTCCTCATTACTCAATTTATAAATTGACTTTTATTATTGCATGGAATTAACAATAGTAACGCCGGCATGTTATTCTTGAAATCAACCTTATAATAACGACCCATTTTAACAACTAAATTTTGCAGATGTTACCGTTTTAAGACTATTAAACAAACCATAATCAAACTGACCACATAACAACACATTGTTGGCCATACTCGGCAATTTGTCAAATAAGCGTGCAGTTTGAATTTATTAGGTTTAAATGGTTATAATGAAATTTAATTTAATAGCCCATCTCACCGCTTTTATATTGTGTTTTATAGACCTTAAAACAAACATTAACTTTTCTAAACAATTATTGACCATAATTATACAGCAAGTCATTTTATTTCGTGTTAAGCGTATGGTTACCCTTAAGCGGTCAGTGATTTGAGATATTACTTGCACATTGGTAAGATAATATATTAACTGGTGAGGCATTTGCCGCAACAATTTGCTTACCTATTTACTGTGGTTGAGGTGATACCATTTTATTATAATTTTCAAAATACATTGAATCCATGAAGGTGTCATAAGGACTTAAAAGTTGAAATCTAGCACAGTATTACTTGATTCATAGTTGTTCTATTCTGGGTACACAGTGAGAGAAGGGCAGTGCTTATATTAGACGCAGAATCGTGTAGGTAGAGAGTCTTCCTTTTTCGAAAATGAGATATTGAGCCGTATTCATAAAACAAAGGTTAGACAACTGTCAGTGATGCTGAGTGAATGAACTGCCTCCTCAACTACAAGCTGGCCTGTCCGTCGGTCTTTCTGTCCGCAAATCTTCGGAACGTCTATAACGAGAACGAAAAGGATGTATAGATTTATATGCCTCTAGCAAAAAGCGGAAGGAATAAAAATCTCTAAAAACTTCGTTTTTTGACGATTGAGAGGCTCCTGATCATTTCTGGGAAAATTTTGGTAGGAGTTCAAAATTTGGGATTGGGGTAGTAGGGGGTGGGGGAGAGTATATCACATTTTTTTGTCGGTAGTACAGGGTGGCTGATATGTAACTGACTGGTTTGTGACTTGAATTTTTGTGAAATTAAATAAATTACTTCCATTATTTTCATCTTAATCTTTTCTTGAAACTTAGAAATTATATATGATAAATAATATCCGACAAATTTCCAGCTGTAGAAGCCGCGCAAAACTTCCATCACTTTTTGGTAGGTTTTAATATTTTCAATCGTTTCCGTAATATTGTTCTCTAGCTGCTCTACCGTATTTGTTAGCACAAAACCCTATTTTCCAAAAATCCCCATAAAAAAGTCAGGAGCCGTTAAATCCGGTGACCTTGGTGGCCAGTTGACATCACCAAATCGAGAAATTAAACGTCCCGGAAATATTGTTCGCAAACGATTCATTGTTTCCCTAGCTGTGTGACAAGTTGCTCCGTCCTGCTGGAACCACATGTCTTGCAGGTTGATTTTTTATATTTGAGGAGCCAGAAAGTTTTGCAAAGAAGTAAGGTCCAATAGCACCTCCATACCAAACACCGCACCAAACTGTGACTCGACGAGGATGTAGTGGTCGTTGATGGATGACACGAGGGTTCTCTAATGCCCAGATATGACAACTCTGCTTATTAACAAATCCGTTCATACCGAAGTGGGCTGCAACGCTCATTATCAGTTGTCGGTAAAAATCGTTATGTTGGGTATTAACTTGCAATATTGCTGACTCTATTATCGGCGACTTTCATGGTCACTAGGCTGTAGTTGGGTTAACTGAATTTTGTATGGCCGCAAATGCAAGTCTTTTTTAAAACAGTGCATGATGACGTGCAACGAATACCTAGTTCTTGAGAACGATGTCTGGTAGACGTCTCAGGGGGCTCCAGTACACTTTCACGAACACTCTCGATATTTTCCGGAGTACGAACAGTTTGAACACGGTCCGACCTTGGACAAATGGTGTTGACACTGGGCACATTATTTCGACCGACATCTTGTAGCTTCCGAATCGCTGCAGTAATTGAGTCATTATTTAAATAAAATGTTTTAAAAATACATGCGCGTTGTGGAATCGTGTAGCGCTCCACGATGAATTGGACACATGTGCTATAAACAACTACTACGGCGTCACCTACAGAAATGCGCGCAATTTAAATCAGTCAGTTATATATTGACCACCCTATATATTCATACTTTTCCAACCTTACTAATTATAATGCATGTGCCATAGATTTCCCAGTATATTTCCTACTGAAACGTGGAGAAATATCAGTCGGAAGAGTGGCTAGGTCGCACAAAAAATCCTGTCTACGACTGCTGCCTAATATCTTAATCGTGACGCTGCTCGAGCTGGCCAGCATATCATGGCTGACGTTGCCAGAAGGTGGATACTTTCAGTAAGGGCAGGGATAAAGTTTCTAGATCGCAGCGTTATCAAATGAGTGAGACTAATTGTATGGGCCTATTTGACTCACTTGATCCATTTATTTTTTTTGTATTAAGCATGTTCATAGTTAACTTCTTTTCTTATAATAATAATCCTTTAAAGACTGATGCCAGCGTTGCATATAAAGTGCAGAGTCAACCTACTTGAAGCCTTTTTTTTAAATATTCCAAATATACTAACCACCCTAAACAATGGTGTCGTCCTGACTAGTAAGATGTAAACGTCGACAAACTCATATCTACGGTCTAAAATGTATAGATACTTTTTGTTTTACGCTTATAACTCTTCGACCATTGAACTGATTTGCAAAATCTGCAAAACTTTTTCATCCTTGATTAAGGTAGTAAACTTGTTTTATGAAAATCCAAGCGAACCTTTCAAATTATAAATCCGAAGCTTCCCTTTTCAGTCCGTGTGAATTTATTCTGACATCTAACAAGTTCCGACATCACAAAACTTGCGTAAAAGTTTTTTAATATATTTTTTTTTATATTAGAAGCTGTCCTCTCATTGGTTCTATTAAACGATACCATGACCCTTAATCTAAATAATGACGTTGCCTTTATTGTCTCCAATTATCCTATTGAGATTTTAACTTGTATGATGAAATTTCTCTTGCATCTGACGACAAGTTAACTGGACTATAGTTCCGACTTACCTAACAACGAATCAAAAACTTTTCCTACAATTCAATGTCCAATCACCCTTGTTATACAAAATACACCCAACCCTAGCATTACTTGCGGAATATAACCGAACTTACTTATACTTGCTTGAACTTCCTCAATATCAGATCACCAAGCTTACCGTAAAAATAAGCAATTTTCTAGATAAGAAGTCTTATTAAATGGCACATTTATCTTGAATCTGTATACTGACATCGCCTTTACTGTCTCCAATTTGTCTCTGGGGTTCGAGGGTGGATTTTAATCCTCCTAAAAGGTGCCGTTGAAGTTCCGATGAACTCGTCTGGAAAATGAAAAATGTTAATTGTGAGATAAGAAAAGCGGGAGTAAGATGCCGATGGGTAAAGGAAATAGAGAAATTGTCAATTTCTTACTTGAATATACTTTGAAAATCTAATGTTAACTCTTGTTTGTATGACTGGGTGCTTGAATGGGGCAGAAATGTAACAGGTTTTGGAGAACAATGCAAATTTTTTGAAGGAGGAGGGGGGGGGGTGTGGTTGTAGGAAACCTTAATTTCTTTCGTTTTTATACAGGGTGTGAATCTACGTGAAAGATTAATGTTTAGTTTGCTTCATAAACTATGGTCCAAAAATGTTTTCTTACAAAAACTCGGGGAGTTTTAGGAAAAAAATGGAAATTAATCAATATTTTCATAATCGCTTCAGATATTTCACTGACACTTAGTACTTAGAGAAAGTTAATAAATTTGCATATTTTTCAATGCAAAAATGATTTTTAGATTTAACAGTGGCGTGCATACGGGTATTGACTTCGATATATTTTAAGCAAAAAATGGTACGCCAATGTTTTTCTGCCAAATAAAAATTATTTTTGAATTCCCCGCTCAATTCAAAACAAATGATCACTCTTGAACTGTTTTCCTTTGATGCGCCATTTTTGAGTAAAAAAATAAAAACCGTTCTACTGTCCGAGAAAATTAATGTAATAATTGAAAAATGCAACAAATATCTAGTTGCTCTGGAATATGTCACTGGCTTTTGACATCTGACCAGTCTCCGTTATTCAAACCTGTTCGCTGTGACATCATTTTCATTATTTAGTTTTTACAATCTTGTTAATAATGGTGAGTTATTCAAACGCAGAAATGGCGACAATTCATTACTTATATGGCCTTGCCGACGGTAATGGTGAACAAGCCAGACGGATTTATCACCAGAGATATCCCGATCGTGCTTTGCCAGATAGTCGAACCTTTTCTAATATTCATCGTCGTCTTGTGGAAACTGGTTCTGTCGAAAAGGAACATCTGAAGGTAGACCTCTAAGTGTGAGAACACCTGAAATTGAGGAAGCAGTGCTGCACGAAGTTGAAGAACGTCCTGAAACAAGTACGAGGAAGATCGCTAGACACTTAAATATTTGCCATAAAATTGTTTGGAGAATTTTAGTGGATTTTTTGTTATATCCTTACCATATTTTAAGAGTACAGGCATTACTTCTCATTGATTTTCCTAAGCGTGTGACCTTTTGTCAGTGGTATCTTAAAAAAATTACACAAAATCCGCAATTTGAATCAATGATTATGTTCACGGACGAAGCTAATTTTTCTCGAAACGCCATTCAGAATTTCCACAATAATAATTTGTGGGCAGAAGAAAATCCCTATGCCGTAACCGAAACCCATTTCCAATACTAATTTTCGTTAAACGTATGGGCAGGAATTATTGGCAACCACTTTATTGGCCCATTCTTCTTGTCGGGCCGACTTGACAGATTTACCTCAATTTTCTTTAACAACAGTTGCCTTTGCTGCTTGATGATGTTCCGTTAGTAATAAGAAACAATATGTGGTATACGCATGATGGTGCACCAGCGCATTTCAGTGTTGTGGTTCGTAATTATTTACAAACTGTTTATCCAAATCGTTGGATTGGCCGCGGAGGGCCCCAAGCATGGCCACCAAGGTCCCCAGACCACAACCGTTTAGATTTCTTTTTGTGGGGCTATCTTAAAACACTAGTGTACACAAGTCCCATTAACACTGTAGAGTAATTAAGAGAAAGAACAATTGCAGCTTGTGATAGAATAAAAAACACACCAGGGATATTTCAACGAGTGCGCAATTCCATGAGAAGGAGGGCGGAAGTATGCATACTAAATGAAGGGGGCCATTTTCAACAATTTTTGTAATAATTTCGTTGGTTTTGTTATGTTTATGTTGTCAGTTGTTGTTGTTCATTACCCCTGATGTGCTTAATTTTTCCGATTAAATTAATAATAATTTTGCAAGTTAGACAATAGAACGGTATTTATTTGTTTACCCAAAAATGGCCCATCTAACAAAAACAATTCAGGAGAGATCATTTATTTTAAATTAAACGGGAAATTCAAAAATAATTTTTATTTGGCAAAAAACCATTGGCGTACCATTTTTTTCTCAAAAAATATTGAAGTCAATTCCCGTACGCACGCCACTGTTGAAGCTAAAAATTATTTTTGCATTGAAAAATAGGCGGCTTTGTTAACTTTCACTACGTACTAAATATCAGTGAAATATCTGAAGCGGTTCTGAAAATATTAATTAATTTTCATTTTTTCCTAAAACTTCAACACCACGAGTTTTTGCAAGGAAACATTTTGGGACCATAGTTTATAAAGCAAACTAACATTAATTCTTTATGTAGATTCACTCTCTTAAATATTCGCATATCATTAAGGAACACCCGGTATACTCCTAGTCAAAGATACAGAACTGTGAGCTTTTGAAACCCTTGATTTCTAAAAACTAAAGTCAAAAGGATGTAAGCAGTATTCCACCAGCAGTGTTTCCCATAAAACTAATTTATATTTGAAGGCTTTACAATCATAATATTGACAATAAGTGCTATTAACAAATCACAAAAGAATGCAGACACTTTTTGACCACTTGACATGGTTATTTTTAACAGTGTTTGGACTACGAAAGTTGAGGAAGTATGTGCTTCTTGAGTTTTTAAAGCCAAATATGTCCTTAATCTCTTAAAACAGAACATGAGCTATTTTTAGTAGGCTATGTAAATTTATTTACATGTACTATAAAACTGTATGGCAGTATAGTTTTGGAACAACATTTTAGTGTATTTTTCCAAAGGTGAATTAAATTGCCTATAGATAACATCTTTGATATCTGACTTATGGACCGACCACGCACTAAGTACTCACTCTGTATATCATCTTGCGTCTTATCTCCTATAGGCCACAGCATGGAGAATACTTGAGGCCCTACCATAAAATGCAAGCCATTTTGTAGATCGAAAGCCCCTCTCCTTGAAAGATAGTAACTTATTGTGCCATCGGTTTATTTGGAATCTGGATCGCATTGCCTTAATTGCCCTAAGACCTCCCCAAAGACCTGGGGATTGGTTTAACCCCTAAGAAAGATGTGATTGAGATCGAATGAGCACATCTAAAAATTGAAAAAATAATATAATTGTTAGAAGTCAGTTGACGAATCAAGCTGAAAATTTGAATCATTTTACTAGTAACGGACATTGAACATGTCAAAAATTATTAAAAACGGATAGACATTCATAGGTGCTTAACTTTTTTTTGTCACTTAGTATATGTTTAAATTCTTATTTATTACCTTTTTTGAGTACATTGTCATTGTCCTATGAATATGAAAAACTATAGGATAAGCTTCAGAAGTTACATTGATATAATTGTTTGTTGCATCCAAATTGCTAACTTCAAAACTTCCATTTCTAGCAGTCTATTCTTACGTTGTAAATGAGACTGAGACATAGGAACTTTTTAGCTTGCCAAATGTGTTATTATAGACTCAGTTGTCCTTTTCATTAAATTGGAAGGTTAGTTTGCTGATAAGCCAAATGGAAACACATGAGTCAATGTAAAAATTTGATTTTTGAGTAATATGATAAACATATTTATATTTTTCAATTGTTCCCAGAAATCGTATTTTAATATTTCCGTGAAAAGCTCTTTTGGCTTTATTTTTTTTTATCAAGCTAGCATCTCATTTGACATTAAGCGAGGTTTTATTCAAAGCCTTGCATGTTCAAAATTGATAACTTATTCACGACAGCATATTCGCATTTTTAATATCACGAACAATTCCAAGTATAAATATTGTGCATATGTAAACGTATATCATTAGTAAGCACAGATAGGGGCGAAGTTACGAGCAAAGGAAGACCGATACGATCAACACGATGCAGCTCAGAATTCAGATTATTAGTTGATTATACGAAACATATCAGTCATTCTGGACTCACCTTGTGGTTTCATTTGGATTCACGGAGCATCCACAACATCCTGCTGGCTCTGCGTGAACGAAAGGATTTGAGTGGATGTACCCTCCGTCTTACTTAATGAGTATTGGACATTCGTTCTCGTTGGATCGTATTGTCGCCATCTTCGTTGAAAGCACATTCGACATGACAGGGTATCTTCAGAGAATTAATTTGAAGAGTTGTATTCCTTTATATGAGACCTGGAAATTGTTATATCGATAACACACTTTACAATAAAAAAGTTAAAAGCATGATAATAATATTACTTTATCATATTGGATGCTAGGCCATCAAATTCTGTCGAGTGCGCTCATATGCAGATGAAACTCAGATTTACTTATCATTTACTTCCTCTCTTTATGTAAATAATTTTTTTAATTCTGGGAAATCAAACTCAGAAATTGCAACTTTGTTAGACTTATCGCGGTACAGTGTAAGAAATATTGTTAGAAGATCTAACGTAACTGGTTCAGTTAATATTAAGCCACGATATGTGAAAAAAAGTAATATCACAAATGCCGACCGAAGAGCATTAAAAAGAATAATCGTGAAAAACAGGCGAGCCAATTATTTACAATTAAGTGCTCTGTGGAGTGACGCTGTTGGCAGGAGAATTTCGAGGTCCACAACTGGGATTTAGCACTTGCAAGGTAATTTTTGTTTAAAAAAAAAGTGAAATAAAAACCCTAAAGTTGCACAACTTGTTTATAAGCCAAAGAGCCACTATTAACTCCACTGAAAACGATAAATCGGCTTAGATGGGCTAAAGAACATAGACAATGGACACCTCAACAATGGTGTGCAATACAATGGAGTGATGAGGCCCGATTCGAAGTTTGTGTTGGTGACAGTCGCAGTAGAGTTACTCGCAAGAAAAATTAAGCATTCCATGTTGACTGTCTGAAGAGAAAAGTGAAATTTCCAGCATCCATTATGGTCTGGGGCAGTATGTCATCAAAAGGAGTAGGAAAACTTCATTTTATTGATGGAAATGTGGATACAAACAAATATTTGGCAATTTTAGAAGA